GGGGCGAGGGGGCGGGGGCTGGGTTTTCTAGTTCCCTTCAGCAGAGCTAGTGCAGAGATGGGTTTTCCTGCTCTGGCGCCTCTGGGGAAGTGGGTTGTGCCCACGACAGCTCACGCGATCGGATAGATTTGTATTGGTCTCTGAAGTGCCCCGGGACCGCTGGTTGCAGCAAGGGGGGTGATGCTGGTGGGGGGTCCTGCAGAGAAGTGGTCTCAGACCCCGTGAGACGTCTGGAAAAAAGCAGAGCTAGTGCAGAGATGGGTTTTCCTGCTCTGGCGCCTCTGGGGAAGTGGGTTGTGCCCACGACAGCTCACGCGATCGGATAGATTTGTATTGGTCTCTGAAGTGCCCCGGGACCGCTGGTTGCAGCAAGGGGGGTGATGCTGGTGGGGGGTCCTGCAGAGAAGTGGTCTCAGACCCCGTGAGACGTCTGGAAAAACTTAAATAAGGTTCAGAGGGGGAGCAGAGTGAGTCTGTAACAGGCAAAACTTAAAAAACAATAATATGTCGGTAGCACCTTAAAGACAAACAAAACATGTAGATAAAGGACTATGTAGCACTTTACAGACTAACAAGATGGTTTATTAGATGATGAACTTTCGTGGGCCAGACCCACTTCTTCAGATTTGATCTGAGGAAGTGGGTCTGGCCCACAAAAGCTCATCATCTAATAAACCATCTTGTTAGTCTGTAAAGTGCTACATAGTCCTGTATTTTGCTTCAGCTACACCAGACTAACACGGCTACATTTCTATTACTATAAAACATGTAGATGGGATCATGGGCTTTCATGGGCACAGCCCACTGCTTCAGATGTCTGGTGTTACTAGTCTATTGTTGTTTTTTAAATAAGGTTATTAGGGGTTTTTTTCTCTCCTAGGCCAAATACAAGGAGCGAGGGACAGTTCTGGCTGAAGACCAGCTGGCTCAGGTGAGACACCTGCTCTGGGTTTAGGGCGTAGAAGCCATTGCTGGGAGGTCACATTTTGCAGCATACTCTGAAACTGGCACTATCCATCTGTTGCTGTGGTTTGGTGCAGTGATACTGGTGATAAAGACAAGTATTGCACCAGTTAAATGTACTTGCTTTCAGGCTGGAAATCTGGAAGTCATGGGACACTGTGAATCCTTCCACTTACATTTTAGGGCCATTCTTCAAAATAACTATGTCTAGAACAGCCTTCCTCTTCTATGTGCACCAGTAAGGCAGTCGGTCCCTTCTAGGTCTGTGACCACATCCCTATAAGCAACCCCAACAGTCTCTGCAGCTGGATTTCCACCCCTTGTCTCCCGTGTAGGGCTGGCAATTTCCTGCAGAAAAATTGGTTAGGACTGGGGACAGATAAATACCAGATTAAACCCAGTTTAAACTGGGAAATGGGGAAAATAGTGGCATCAGTGTCTAGCAAGCCCAGAACAAACCTTTTCTAACTTTGGATTTATCCATTTACAAGCTCTGTTGATCCACTATATCAAAGCTGTTCCACTACAGAATAGTACCTGACCAGGTGAACCTGAACTTGTGGACTGCAACTCTACCTGCTTCTGATGGCTTGAAACATTAAGCATACAACTCTGCATTATTGGTGTTTTCATTTAAGCAATTGTCTTTGCCCATATAATATTAGAAGACTTGCCTAGTGCTGCTTCAGGGCAGGGGCTGGTGGTGTGTGGGGTGTAGGAGTCAGGGCAGGGGGCTGGAAGGTGTGTGGGGGGGGGCTTTAGCAGAGGGCTGAGTGTTTGGGGATACAGGAGTCAGGAAGGGGCTGAATGGTATTGGGGGGCAGGGTTTAGGCTAGGAGCTCAGAGCAGGGGGCTAGGAGATTGAGGGGGCTAACTGGGGCCGTCTGTGCGGTGAGGATGGCACTGAAGCTGCCCCCACCCCAGCTCCTCCTGGGGAGGAGCTGCCCACCCCTGGCAGTGCTTCTGGGGGATGCAGCGGGAGGCCTCTGGCCAGTGGAGCTTCCCCTCCCCCCGTCCGGTGCTGTGGCCAAGGGTCAGGGGGACGCTTACCCATGTCTGACAACGTGGACTGCCTCGGCCACTCTTCCTTGTGCAGCCGCCCCCTATGGTCATGCTGCAATGCTTGCTGCCCCCAGTGGTCATTGAGGAGTGTAACTGTCCCTCCCTTTCCATTTTATGGGAAACAATCAAATTCCAGGCATGTCCCATTGTCCTGGCACAATCAAACCCTGACCTGGCTTTACATTAGGAGAAGAGGAAGTTCCTGCCGAACTTGGTCGTCCTAGCACTTACCATTTACAGGAGTTCTTGAACAAATGGTCTTATGGACAGACAGACGCACAAACTCTCTCAAATTGCGTGTGTGGGTGTAAAATATTGAAATGAGTGATTGCATATATAGTTTCCTTGAGGGAACCAAAATGAACATAGATCATTTGATGTTCACTATGTCAATTGCCTGTATTATCACTACACCCACTGCGCTTTTACTTTTATTTGTGCAATCTCAAATGAATCTGTGTACCCATTGTCTTATCTAACCACAATTTGAATATGTAGCTAGAACTAAGCATAATGTGGTGAAACAGTTTCAAAACAGAAAATGCCTTAAACGGGACAAACTCGTTTCTTTCTAGGACAGTAAAAACCCAGATTTTACCTGGTGAAATCCACTGCTGGTAAATGCCATGCCATCTCTGTTCCATTATTGTCCCTAATTGTTTAAATCTAGCTATACATTTTAGAAACGTGACTGTCTGTGGGTCTGTTTGTTCAAGAACTTCTCCTGAACGGGAAGAACTAGGACCACCAAGTTCGGCAAGCAGCTTCCTCTTATTCTAACTTAAAGCAAGGTCAGGGTTTGTTTGTGCCAAGGAAACAGGATGTGCCCAGAATGGGATTGGTTCTCCTAAATCCATACAGAAAAAAGACCGAATAAGCAGGCAGGTAAAAGGGGCTGGCTGGGGGTGCCATCCCCCCAATCCAGGACTACCCCAGCCTGGAGCCTCCTACTCTGAGGTTCCCTTTAGGGAGGGGGGGGGGGTGGAACTGAAGCTTCTCCCTCTTCCCCCCCCATTTGTACAGAGACGTTGCCGGCTGTTCCCCTCTGTCAGGGAGCGAGGGGAAAGTGTCTAATTTGCTGCATCCTCACTCTACTGGGGAGTGCAGGGGGGCAGATGAACCTGAACCTGCCTCAGCTGGGGGACATGCACCCCTCCCCCAGCTGTGCATATTGATGCTGCAGTGGCCATGGAGAGGCACTTCTCACCTGGCCCCAAGCTGCTGCGGGAAGAGAGCTGGGGCTGTCCCCCCTCACTCCCCCTCCAGGGCAGCCTGCATCCTGACCCCCTCATATCCACCCAGAGCAATGATTTAAATGGAAAAAAACAAAAATGAATTGAGTTCAGGACCCGAGCAAGGCCGGGGAAATGGACTTGGTGGCTTTCTCTGATGTTACCAAGCAAGCATTCAGTTCCTCTTTACTTGCCGCTCACAGATGTCTAAGCAACTGGACATGTTTAAGACCAACTTGGAAGAATTTGCCAGCAAACACAAGCAAGAGATTCGTAAAAATCCCCAGTTTCGGGTCCAGTTCCAGGACATGTGTGCCACAATCGGCGTGGATCCATTGGCCTGTAAGGAACGTACACCGGAGAAGTTAATGCTGAGCGTCCTGGTTGCGTTTGGAGACCAGCTGTAGTGTCTTTGCTCGGGAACCTCTCATTGGAGTGGATAGGTGGGCTGAGTACAGTGGACGGGGTTTGGCTCGTAGGGCCTGGAAGCAGATGGGCTGTTTTACCCTTCTGGAATGGGAGGCAAGCAGCAGGCCTCCAGCCCTTCTTCTGGGGCATGAACAAGCCCCAATCAAGCAACTCAGCAGACAGCTCTGCCAGTCTCCAGCCTGTCCACCGGGGAAAAGGGGTTACCCCCTTCCTCTCCCTAGCCCGATGATAGGTCCAGCCCCAGTCACCTCTTCTGGGCTGTTGAGGCTCTGGAGCTAAGAGCTTGGAAGAATTGGCTGTTTAGTGGTGATGCCTAACCCCCCCCCCCTTGCAGCTGGTAAAGGATTCTGGTCAGAGATGCTGGGAGTTGGAGACTTCTACTATGAGCTGGGCGTTCAGATTATTGAAGTTTGCCTGGCTCTGAAGCACAGAAACGGAGGTGAGGGCCCTGTTTGCACAGGCGCAAACACCCATTTCCAGCGATTGTATGTTCAAGGTGCTGCCAGTGGTGCCCTGCTTGGGGAGATGCTCAGTGCAGGGTCTCCTTGGTCAGCTTTTAAAAAGTGCCGAGACGATGGTTCCGGCTTGCTCCCTGCACCAGTGGAAAAGTGGGGGGTGTACAGCGAGGAAGCTCATGCACACGGCGTTTGCGTTTTCCTAGAAAATCTGTCCGTGGCAAGGCTCTCTAGCTTCTTTATCTGGCCGTAGCTAGGTGAGCGTAAGCACGGGGGGAGGGGATCGTGTTCACGTTGCCTGGCTACTATGCAGTAAAACTCCCTGCATGCAGCCACAGTTAGGATTTGATAGCGAAATAGCAGCTTGTTTATTACAAGGTAAACTCCCCAAACCTTTTAGAGCAAAGATATCGCTTAAGAATGCCATAAAATATGCTCGGTGGGCTTGTAGCAGAACCTCACATTCATAGCAAGTACTGGGGGATTAGTAATCGATGGGAGGTTTTTTTTAAAAACTAGATAGACAAAGAAAAATCTGTTTTGTAGTTGGGTGTTTCTGGGTCATCTGTGTATATGTTCTAGTCTGTCTGCGAGTCCGTTTGGGGAAGAACTCATCCTAAACGGTAAGTGCTAGGGCCACCAGAGCTGCTAGGAAGTTTCCTCCTCCACCTTCACTCTGTAGTAACGTCACCTCCCTCATTTGTTCCCTCTAGGGCTCATAACACTGGAAGAACTTCATCAGCAAGTGCTGAAGGGAAGGGGGAAGTTTGCCCAGGACGTCAGCCAGTGAGGATCTTACTGACTTGTATTGTCACCCGGGGGGTCTGGAAACAGCATGAATAAAAAGTGACAGCTAATCTAGGCAGGCACCCGAAGGTCGTTCTGCTGCCAATCAACTCCAGTTTGAGTTACAGTTGTGCTGCTGTCAGCAGTGAGTCCACAATTAAGGTTGCAAGCAGGGCCCTGTTAAGAGTGAGAGGCCTCCTGCAGTTAAAGGGGTAATGTCTTTTCCCTCTTCCCATTGCCTTGAAAGTGTCTAGACTTAAACTTGATTCCGAACCACTGGAGAAACTGAAATCAGACTGGCCAGCAGGAGAGTCTGTTATGTTTGCTCTTCTTGCTGTTGTTTCCAAGGTCTCCTGGGCAGCGAGGGGGAGCCTAGCATGGTACTGGCCCCTTCCTCCCCCCCGTCTAGATTACAGCATCCAAAATACATTGATACTCAGTAAGAATCAGTATTCTTACTGATATTAATATTACTGAGTAATATTAGTTGCAAATCATACACTGAAGTCTTACAACATTAAGATTAGTAAGTGAAACATTAGCTTAATCTGTATCGTAATGTAGTCTGTCTGTACTTGACAAAATACTACTTTAAAATGTATTTTTGACTGTTGACATTGCTAGTTACTTAATAGGACTGCTAGCATATGAACAGCTGTTAAGTAACATGACAATGGAATTCATATTTTGCCACAGATTCACTTGAACAGTGAAAAATACTCACTTTCCTCTCCTTTATTAGTGTGTCCCTAACCTGCTGAATGCTACTTGAACAGATATCATAGATTCCACTGAACTTCCATTATTTCAATTTTCTTCTGTTGGGAGACCTTTCTGCTGATAGGGTTTGCAAAAAATTGTCTGAATTCTCGGCCTACATTGGCCTGACATGGTCTCTTTTGTTTTGTTTTTTTGGCAACTTAGAGTTTGAGTTCACATGACTTACATAGTGAGTATTCTCGACTGGCATAGGATGAGTTTGTGCAAACAGTTTTAGTGATTCTCTCCTGTGCCTGTTGGAATCGGAGCTCACTTTAACTGGAAGGGAATCAATCTTTTTTCAGTTGCCATAGCTTCTTGGTAAATATGAATGAAAAATTAAGTACAGAGCAGCTGACTTTTCAAAGGTGTTTCCCAAGAGAAGAAATGACTAACCACTTCATGTGCATGATTGGCCTCTGCCTTCCAGCCCTTAACTTTGCTACTTGTACAGCTATTGTCCCTTATTTGCTACAGTGCATCCCCGCTATACATGCGTTCCTCACTAAAGTCATTGATGCTTGTAGGAACTGATGCGTTAAGAGCTGGGAATGGGAGGACTTAAGTTGTGCAAAAAATTGTGCAAATGAAGGTCAGCCCCAGGAAAAAAATTCCCCGCTTTAAGTTGTTTACTGTAAGTCCAAGTTTTTTGGAACATATCTTGGACTCACAGCAAAGGCAGCCTGTACCTCACTTAGTGTCCGGTTCAACAGCAGACTAGAAGCTTTTCTTTGAACGTCTTATGCTCCCTCCCCTCTGCCTTTTCAGGGACGATCTCATCCGAGCCATCAAGAAGCTGAAAGTTCTGGGTAATGGCTTTGGGATCATTCCCGTCGGTGGGACATACCTGATCCAGTCTGTACCAGCCGAACTGAACATGGATCACACGGTGGTTTTGCAGCTGGCTGAGGTACTGTGGCAAGAGGTTCTTTAGTACAAGCTACCCCTGGGTACCACTGAGTCACTTGGACTGGCTCAGAGGGCATGAAGAGTAAATGCTAATACAAGCAAGGATCTAGAGTCTCAGCTTGTATAGACATGAGCATGTTGGCTTTCCAAAACGTGGATGTTGTGAAGTCCCGCTTATTAGCAGATCGTAAGGAGCTTTAACCGTGTGCTGAAATCAGTCCTACGGAACACCCTTTTCTCCTTGTTTCAGAAAAAGGGCTATGTAACCATCAGTGAGATCAAGTCCAGTTTAAAGTGGGAGCTCGAACGTGCCAAGCAGGTGCTGGTATGTATACAGACCTTGGATTAAACACCACTGTAGCAGGTTTAGGGTTGTATCTGCACTGTCAGAACTTTGCCACCGTCACAGTAAAAACAGTATAATCCCCTCCACACTGCAAGACCCAACGAGGGCAAAAGTAAATCGGGCTTCAGCCCTGTAGGACTGAGTGGAGGCAGGATCTGAAGCAGAATCCTCTTAATTGCAGGTACATAGCTTTGGTGCTGCTGTGAAATAGCACAGGACTAGAGAGGTCCTGTAGTCCAGGCCCCGGTACTGACAGCAGAACCACGTATTATTCTAGACCAGTGTTTCCCAATCTGGTCCATGAAGTGAAAGTGAAGGTTCTGCAAGAATGCAGCATTCCCCTGCCCCCTCTTAAAGAGACAGTGTCTTTTTTTTTTTGCTTGACAAATTTTACCCTGGCAACCCTAGGGGTTCCTTGAAATTCTTTTAAGCTGAAAAGGGTTCTGTGGCCAAACAAAATTGGGAAACACTGTTCTAGACCGTCCCTGACAGGTGTCTCTCTCACCTGCTCTTAAATCTCCAGTGACAGATTCCACAGCCTCCCTAGGCAATTTATCCCAGTGTTTAACCCCCGACAGGAAGTTTTTACTGAAGTCCAACCTCAGCCCCCCTTGTTTCCTGTCATAGGGGAGGTTAAGAACATTCTTCACTCCTGCCCCCTCATTGCTTGTTCTTACCGTATGATCTGGGCTGCAATTTGCAGCATCTTTTTTCATTCTGTAAAATGTCCTCCCTGGCACCCATGGCTCCGGAATACACTTTGAACATCAAACTTCAATTACTGCATTGTGTGGGGGCAGGTGGGGAGGAGGAGGTGGCATCTGTCCAGCAGTGAATCTGTAGTTAGTCATATATGAGCTCCCACCTGCCCCCCACTGCTGCTGCCTCCAATACAGAAGGAGCAAGGGGGCTGCATGTTAACCAGTGAGTCCTGGCTCATGGGTTAACCAGCTAAATGGTTACACTGTCACACTCCTAGTGCTAACCTGAGTCCTGAGACTCTTCCTTCTTCGGCCTGTAGTAGAACTGGGCTAAAGCTGTGATGCAGAAGTGGTTCTTACGCCCCCAAGTTTCACTTCTGCAGATTTTCTCCCTTCAGCTTCTGAGACCTTGGTCTGTTTGAACAGGAACACCTGCTGAAGGAAGGCATGGCCTGGCTCGACATGCAAGCCCCAGGGGAGGCCCAGTACTGGCTGCCTGCTCTCTTTACTGAACTTTACTCCCAGGAAATCACGCCAGAGGAAGCAAAGGAGGCCATACCCTGAGCTGTGCGTGTCTATACGTGTTCTTCATCTGCTTCTTGTATTCCCGACTGAGGGACACTGAACTTGAAATAAAGTTGTTTAAACAGGTGTCTAGGTTTACCCACTGAATTAGTCAAGCAGAGATGATTTGAACTTACCTCCTAAATTGCACCAGCCAGCTCTTTCTACACATGGGACTCAAAGGGTAAAATTGCATTATAGTTTACCATGGCAGCCCCTTATCAGCTGTGGATATGAACAGCCTCCATTAACAGGGATCCTTCCCTGCCCAAGTGTTTAGGGAGTTACTATCAATACAAGTGTCTCACTCGAACGTCCTGTAACTTGCCCATGAAAAATACAAGTCTGGATTCTGCCAAAACAAAACTTTATTGCACAAAAAAAATCTTATGTACAATTGTATATAAACAAGATATTTTATAGTGACTCTTGTGCATATATTTTCAAATCATTAGGTCTAAAATTCTGTCACTAAAACATGTCTGCCTAGAGCAGTCATTGAGGATTGTCACTTTGAAATGGAAACATTCAGAAACTGCAGGAAGGGTAACAGCTATGAAACTAATACTTCTTTTACAGCCACATGCTTAGGTGAATGGTGTCCACAGTAAGGCATTTTTGTGTGTGGATGGAAATGCCACATGCACCACATAAGAGATTTTGGAACCAGCTCTGCCTTATGAAGGCATTCGAGGCCCATCTCTAACTAATTTTAAAGTGAGATTTACAATGGATTAAACAGAGGTGCTACAGTAGTATAGCTCAACTTTTCATACTGATATGCCTCCATAAAACCTTATATTAAGGAGCACACTGCTTGGACTTCCAGCTGGTGTGTCTTAGGTAAGTTTTCTTTTAGAGAAAACAGGGTTCCATTCTAAACCATACCAGTGACAGGCCCAAGATGAGGGGTTTTTTTTAAGAAAGGCTCATAAGTTGTTAAGTGGCACCTTTAATTCAGGAATGTTTCCATCTTTCAACCTCTCAAAGCTACTTACGCCGCAGGATGCAGGCTTTGGACATTTACAATAGTTGATATTCTACATAAACAATCTGTATTGAAAATAATTCACCAGCACATGGGACATTGACATAACTGTGCAATTTGAGCTAGAAAGAGAATCTCCTTAGAACAAACAAATGAAAAAGTTACCTGACTTGGATCTTCTTTCCATGTCACACTAGCAATCAGCAGGAGGGTTATAGCAAAGGAGGAGGGATGGGGTTGGTGCACCATACCATGCAACTATGTGCTTAATTTTCAATCAATGCTCTTGTAAAACAAGATTAAGCCCTTCCTAAAGCACTTTATCACCCCCTTTGGTGGTATCAAAAAACAATTCAGGCCTGTTATCTGCTTGCTTGATCTGGGTGTGTTTCATCTCCACAGTTTATTTTAACTACATCCTTGATGTAAAGGGCAGGTTTCTCCTGGCTGCCAGTGCCAAGAGGTACAAATTGCACAACATGAGACTCTGCTGTTAAAACTATCCAAGTGTTGGGAACTAGTTTTACAACTGGTCACATTTGGCAAGGGAACGTTCTGCTGCTATAGACACTTGCTTCTCCCCTTCTCTGGAGAGCTCCGTTAGAAAATGGCTTCCTGCTTAGAAATGCCTTATCCTAGCATCTTATTTCTCCTGGATCAAATATTAGCGGGAAAAGAAAACAGCAGCCAAGGAAGCAGAGCAGTTCCACTTGGAAAAGCTAAAGTAGAATATTTCCTACAATATTTTAACACCACATTTTTAAAAAAAGCCCCACAACCTTCAATTGTGGGTTTGACTTTTTAAAAGAAAAAAACCAGTGTTTTCCCCCCCCCCCCCCCGCACTTGATTTATGAGCTTTTGCAGCTTGAGTCCATTTCCCCCACCTACCTAAAGTCCAGCCAGGAAATGCCACCCAGGTCTGGATGCAGCTTTCGAAAGCCTAGATTCTACCCCGTTTCTCTTTGGTCTGTCTAGAAGAGACATCAGCGGACAGAGGGGCCTGTGCCCCACCTTCCCCCCCAGACAGGCATTAAACCTGGGCAATCAGCAAGTGGGCCTTCTAGTATTGGGGACTCCACATCAAAGTGCTCCTACAGCTCTGGTCCGGAGAGGTCAGCACAGCCGGCCAGCAGGCCACATGCTGGTGAGTCAAGAACAGAAGAGCTGTCAAACGGAGGTGCATTCTACATCTCATTGTTTTAATCAGAGAAAGAAAAACCAACCCAGTGCAGGCGTTTCCAAAACAGCCTGATGCCACATGATCCAGCTTTCTAGCAGAGGAAGTACCTTTTAGAGGAGCCTTGTTACTAGCTAGGCTTTGTCTACCATCAAGTCCTCTTGTTCTGTAGCCACAGAGCATGAAAGGAGACAGACCTCCCCTCGCTGTAGCCACGCTGGAAGTGGCATGGCGCTCAAGTCAGTCGGGGGGATTCTAGAGCACAAAGGCTGAAAAGCCCAGGGGTGTGGGGCTCGTATCTGGAGACCTCTAAGCTTTGGAGCTCCCTTGAGTGTCCGTCTCTGTCTCTGAGGAGCTGCTGTCAGAGTCTATGTCTACGTTCTCCTGCTGGTGTTTCTCTTGCACCTTCAGCCGAATGCCTTGCAAACGGAGTAAGAGGGACTGATAGTCAAAGTGGCCTCGTTTTTCACCAAAAGGATCCTGGTTGGAAACAAGTAAGATTTAGACACAAAGTACACCAGGCCATACCAACATCCCTGCAGTACTCCCACCGCCATGGTTAACCGGTTCATGGAGGAGGCTTACCGGTTAGGGTTAACAGGTGGGGACTGGAGCAGTGCCCCACCTGCCATGGGCATGGGCTTTCCAGTCCAGCCAGTGCAGCCCCCAACCACAGCAGGCCATGGGCAGAGGAGCTCCAGCCCAGCCAGAGCACCCCCGACCATGGCAAGAGGAGCCGCTGCTCCAACCCCTGCCTGGCCCGTTTTATTCCCTTAACTGGTTACACTTAACGCTTAACTGGTTAGTAATTAAAGGGGATTTTACATCCCTGCTGCAGGGCAAGGAGACGTTTTGGCAAAGACGCTGGTTAAACGCCTGTTCTCTGCCAAGCACATTGTGGGCTCTTTGGTGTCAATGCAGAGAGAGGGGATCTTGGCTTGTTCAAAAGCTCTCATCTGAAACACCCAGGCAATGCACACTGCATGCTCTCATGTTGACCTTCCTCAGACAGATGAAGGCGGAGTGGACACTGGCTGGATTTGAACCAGCGTTTCAAAGAACTGAGGAGCTGCTCCCAGGCAGGAGGGAATGAGTCTCAGCAGAGAAAGCCAAGGACTATAGTTACTGATACCTCACACAGCGCTAGAGATTACAAATGGGGAAACTGAGGCACATAGTGCCTAGTCATACAGCTGGGCAGTGGCAAACACGCAAGAGAGACTTAGCTCCTTCTCTCAGGCCCTGAAGGGACCATAATGGACGGAAGCTTCTTTCCTCCCCACACACACTACACTCACAGGGAAAAGCCAACAACCACACTGACACCTTTGCTTTCACCTATGGTTCATCTAATGAGGCGTTGGGGATGGGCACAGCAATGGCTACCTCTGTAGGACCAGCCTGGTGTGTCCGTACAGCGCCTAGCACCACGTGGGTCTGGGCCATGACCAGACCTCCTCGCTGCTACAGCGATAAATGGAGCCTCTGCTCCTTGCAGCGGCCACAACGGTGACGGAAGGGTGCGATCGGAGCCTTTCCTGACTAACCCCTCCAGCCAGGTAGTTTTACAATGCAGCCTCTCCTCACTGTACTCCAGATTCCAGCTGATGCGGGTCAGACCATGTGGGCTGGTGGCACTGTTCAATCCAAACACAAGCCGTCTGCTGCCATGACACGCCGGGGGAGCTCCGATTTTATGGCTAACAGGGCTGTATAAAGGGCACGTGTCGACATGACGTGTAAAATTAACCACCCCCCTCTTCCGTCAATGGCGAGATCTTTCAATGAGTCATTTGGGAGATGGCTGATTAGAACAGAAGAAACTCACATTTGTACAGAAATAGCTTAGCAATCAGCCGCTCTCAATACAGATCTCTCGGCATTGGAAAAGGTTCAGAAAAGGGCAACACAAATGATGAGAGGTTTGGAACAGGTCCCATATGAAGAGAGATTGAAAAGACTGGGACTTTTCAGCTTAGAAAAGAGGAGGCTAAGGGGGGGGATAGGATAGAGGTCTATAAAAATCATGACTGGTGTGGAGAAAGTGAGTAAGGAAAAGTTATTTACTTGTCCCCACGACATAAGAACTAGGGGTCACCAAATGAAATGAATAGGCAGCAGGTTTAAAACAAACAAAAGGAAGTTTTTCTTCACTCAGCACACAGTCAACCTGTGGAACTCCTTGCCAGAGGATGTGGTGAAGGCTAGGACTTTAACAGGGTTCAATAAAGAGCTAGATGGATTCATGGAGGTAAGGTCCATCAATGGCTATTAGCCAGGATGGGTAGGAATGGTGTCCCTAGCTGCTGTTTGTCTGGAGATGGGTGACAGGGGAGGGATCACGTGAGGATTCCTTGTTTTGTTCCCTCCCTCTTGGGCATCTGGTATTGGCTACTGTCAGCAGATGGGATACTGAGCTGGATGGACCGTTGGCCTGATCCAGTCTGGCCGTTCTTATGGCAGTAGGGAAAACAGAGTGGCTCAGGAGCAGTGCTAGGAAAAGCCTTAAAGCATTGTACTGGCTGGGGATGGAAGAGGTTAACTGAAGAAGTCTGGAGGTGTGCCTAACGTAGTGAATACAAGCAGAGAGAGGGTAAGTTTAGAAGATAGGATACACAAAGAACAAGTTAAAAATCACTTAGGAAAGTTAGATGTCAGCAAGTCACCAGGTCCTGATGAAATGCATCCCAGGATACTCAAGGAGCTGATAGAGGAGGTATCTGAGCCTTTAGCTATGATCTTTGAAAAATCATGGCAGACAGGGGAAATTCCAGAAGACTGGAAAAGGGCAAATATTGTGCCCATCTATAAAAAGGGGAATAAGAACAACCCAGGAAACTACAGACCGGTCAGTTTAACGTCTGTCCCAGGGAAGATAATGGAGCAGGTAATTAAGGAAATCATATGCAAACACTTGGAAGGTAATAAAGTGATAGGGAATAGCCAGCATGGGTTTATGAAGAACAAGTCATGCCAAACTAATCAGATAGCTTTCTTTGATAGGATAACGAGCCTTGTGGATAAGGGAGAAGCGGTGGATGTCATATACCTAGACTTTAGTAAGGCATTTGATACGGTCTCGCATGATATTCTTATTGATAAACTAGGCAAATATAACTTAGATAGGGCCACGATAAGGTGGGTGCATAATTGGCTGGATAACCGTAGTCAGAGAGTTGTTGTTAACGGTGCTAAATCCTGCTGGAAAGGGATAACAAGTGGAGTTCCGCAAGGGTCTGTTTTGGGACCCGTACTATTCAATATCTTCATCAATGATGTAGATATTGGGATAGAGAGTACGCTTATTAAGTTTGCAGATGATACCAAACTGGGTGGGGTTGCAACTTCTTTGGAGGATAGGGACATAATTCAAAATGACCTTAGCAAGTTAGAGAAATGGTCAGAGGTAAACAGGATGAGGTTTAATAAAGAGAAATGCAAAGTGCTCCACTTAGGAAGGAACAATCAGTTCCATACATACAAGATGGGAAGCGACTGTCTAGGAAGGAGCATGGCAGAAAGGGATCTAGGGGTCATAGTGGACCACAAGTTGAATATGAGTCAACAGTGTGATGCTGTTGCAAAAAAAGCAAATATGATTCTAGGTTGTATCAACAGGTGTGTTGTAAGCAAAACTCGTGAAGTCATTCTGCCGCTCTACTCTGCACTAGTTAGGCCTCAGCTGGAGTACTGTGTCCAGTTCTGGGCGCCACATTTCAAGAAAGATGTGGAGAAATTGGAAAGGGTACAGAGAAGAGCAACAAGAATGATTAAAGGTCTAGAGAACATGACCTATGAAGCCAGGCTTCATGAACTGGGCTTGTTTAGTTTGGAAAAAAGAAGATTAAGGGGGGACATGATAGCGGTTTTCAAATATCTAAAAGGGTGTCACAAGGAGGAAGGAGAAAATTTGTTCCTCTTGGTTTCTGAGGACAGGACAAGGAGTAATGGGCTTAAAGTGCAGCAGGGGAGGTTTAGATTGGACATTAGGAAAAAATTCCTAACTGTCAGGGTGGTCAAATATTGGAATAAATTGCCAAGGGAGGTGGTGGAATCTCCCTCTCTGGAGATATTTAAGAACAGGTTAGATAGACATCTGTCAGGGATGGTGTAGACAGAGCTTGATCCTGCCTTTTACTCAGTAAGCAGTAGGCTTATTGGCTTGCTTACCCAGTAACCAGTTAACTGGCCTCGTGACCGTGGCGTTTAACCAGTTAAACAAACAGTTTATCTGGTTAACTATGTGTGTGGGTTTTTACATCCCTCATGGAAACCGAAGGCATTGTACTGGCTGGGGATGGAAGAGGTTGGACGATCTCAAGGAACCGGGTTGCCGCAAAGCACCTTTGATCCTTCACTTCCAGTAGCAAAGATAAAAGTTAGAAGAGTTACCAGCTGGCCAGCAGGAAGAAACCTCTTCCCCACATCTCACACATCTTAACACACATCAAAGGAACATAGTGACTGCGCCCTAAGGAGAGATTAGGAGCACCATTGGCATTTTAGGAGAACACACACCAGCTAGCTAACCTCTGACAGGGACATAGGAACTGCCACAGTGGGGGTAGTTTCCTATTCTCTTAGCATGGATCAGAAGCTAGATCGGGGTGGACAAGCATTTCTGATGGGGGCCCACTCCAAGGTTTTGGAAAGTGGTCGAGGGCCGCACACTTCTATGGTATTAATGGATGTGGTGCGGGGTTTGGGATGGAGGTTGGGTGCAGAAGGGAACTTGGGGGAAGGAACTGGGGTGCAGGAGGGAGAATGGAGTCTGGGAGGGAGTTTGGGGGAAGGCAGTTGTGACATAGGGTAGGGAACTGGGGTGAAGGGTTTTGGGATGTGACCTATGGTTGGAGGGGACTGTGATCTCGAACAGAAGATTGGGCTGCCTGATCTGGGAGGGGATATAGGTGCATGTGCAGTAGTGGGGGACAGAGGGTTGCGGAAGGGAGGGGCTGGGATGCCAGAGGCAGGTTCTGGCCTGGAGACTTACCATCCAGCAGTCAAACCAGCCTGCTTGCCTGCCCGCTAAAGGCTTGGAAAATGTTTCTGGCTGCTCAGCCATGTGCTTGAGTGAGTAAATGAGCAGGAGGGTTGTACTTCGTGGCTGCTTGTTACTCAAACCAGCCAATGGGATTGTGCTGGAGGCAGGAGCAGTGTCTGAATGTTCCCCTTCTCCCCTCTGGACTCAAAGAGAAAGCGCCCCACAGCCTGCCTGAGGCTCCCCACTGCCTCTGCAAGCTGGATCCGGTGGCTTGAGGAGCTGCATTTTGCCCAGGCCTGAGCTAGACACATGGAGAGGAAATACAAGGATGCTGAAGCTCGTGTATCTCCCCTGAACTCTGGCTTCTAGAGGGAACTTTCAGATGAAGTACAATTGGCACCAACAGAGAAAGAATTAAGCGGACGCTTTGCATTAGCGGAAACCAGTGTATTAACAGCCCCAGGAATTTCTCACTGCCTTATTTCATGGCTGATGTGAAATCAAAGCACATGTCTGGAGAGAATTAAGAGATTCCAACCTTCAAGGAGTTTCTTTTCTCTTCTCTCCTCAATTAGTCATGTCAAGAGGCAAGCTGATGATCTCCTTCACCCAAGGTAGCCAGGATAAAATGAGCCAACATCAAGCAGACATCACTATACACCACATAGCTGGCAAACCAACACTTATTTCTTGCAGCCTAACAGGTTATTAAACTGCACCCTTCTCATGAAGTTGTAGCATGGAAAGCAGGTTGCCAGCGGCTTACCTGCATCGTCTGTCCTTGTAGGTGAAGCCTCTCTTTGCACACACCCTCGTAGAAGTCAAAGTACTCCATGAAGGACTTCTCCATCACGCCTCTGGGACACCACAAGAGAGCACATGGTCAAGGCAGGATGAACGGGCATTTATGCACTGGTCTAATCCCCTGGTGGCCAAGTGTGGCTCCATTCAGTTAAGCAAACTTGTCATTCATCTAGTCCACAACACACTGCATATGCCACCAACACTTATAAGCAGGGCTCAACAAATCGCTATTTCTACTCGCCCGTGGCAAGTAGATTTCAGCCCATCACTCCGTTCGCCCCGTTCACCGGCTCTGCACACATGCACATTGCTGGTCTGGCGCATGCGCGGTGTGGGGCTGGCCAGTAGATCTCACTGCGGTTTGTCAAGCCCTGCTTATAAGGACAATCCAAGCAACCGAGACAACCATTTCACTGCTCAGTAGAACTTCCCACACAAGGGGTCTACATTAACTTGCATCATTACACTGACTGAATCACACCACCCCAGGAGCTAGAGAGAGTCATTCAAGTAGGGCCGCACCAAATTCATGGTCTATTTTGGTCAATGTCAGTGTCTTAGGATTTTAAAAATGGCAAGTTTCAGGAATTCAGATATTAATCTGAAATTCAGGGTGTGATACTTGTAGGGTATTGCTGCCCTTACTTCCACGCAGCTGCCAGCAGCAGCACTGCCTTCCAAGTTGGGCAGCTGTAGAGCAGCGGCTGCTGGCCAGAAACCCAGCTCTGAAGGCAGAACTATTGCTAGCAGCAACGGAAAAGTAAGGACGCCCTCATCTCGTATCAGCACCCTTCCTTCTGCACTGGGGGCCCTAGGCCAGGTCTACACTAAAGGGGAAGGTTGCATCGAGATACGCAATTCCAGCCATGTTAATTATGTAGCTGGAGTTGTCGTATCATCCCCACAGCAGGAGGCCAACAGGAGCAAACGCTCCCATTGGCTTCCCTTACTCCTCACAGATGCAGGAGTCCTGCCTGCCAAGTGGGACGTCCTCTGAGTTTAACTTTAGCGGATCTACCTAGACCGGCTAAATTGAACTCTGGAAAATCAATTGTGGCAGTGTGGATCTTCCCAGACGTATAGACATGGCCTTAGTCAGCAGCCGCTGCTCTCTGGCCACCCAACTCCGAAAGCCATGAAGAAGGGTGGGAATCCGTGACCCCCTCCCAAAAAATAACCTTGTGGTCCCCTGCAATTCCCTTTTGGGTCAGGACCCCCAATTTGAGAAACCCTGATCTCCCCTGGGGAGCTCACAAAAGGCCAGATTTCCTGGGGGGACCCCACATTTCACCATCTGTGACGCCCTGTGCATGACTGTGAATTTGGTAGGGCCTGCCAGAGAAGGAACTGGATGTGCAGTAGGAAACCCAGGCAGGGAACTAGCACACATGCTGTGTGAGTATTAGACTCATTACACACCGGGAACCATTAGTCCTCCCCCATGCAAGACAGGGACACACCGTCCCCATTTGACAGTAGGAGAACGGGGCAGTGCCTACGGTGACACAACGGAGGTGGAACTCAGACACCGCAAGATGAAGAGTTCCCAGTCCCCGGCCCAACGTGAGACACTGCCAGGGACCGTGACGTGTACAGAAGTGCCCGGTTACATCAGACTATCACCATTTAGCGCAAGATGGGGGCCCATCAGTAGATTCGCTCCTCCCCCCATTACCTACCGTAAAGGTTCGGGACAGGGATACTTTCCTTCCAGCATGTCGCAAACTGCTACGCGGATGGTCTCGTGCCGAATGCACTCGTTATAGTTCTTACTATCCCCAGGGTGCCTCTCCTGTCAGTGGAAACAGCGGCACTGAGTCCGTGACGTGCGACGGGCCCTTCCCTTCTCACGCTCCCCGACAAGCTCTCCAGACACAGTGATCTAGCTTATGCTGAAAAGCTGGGAAGGGACTCCAGAGCAGGGGCCTCAGGTCACTGAGGATTTGGATCAGCCTGAAAGGCAGCACAACAGTCTGGCTCCCTCAGACGGCCCGAGGGCCAGGAAATCTGAGCAGCTGGGTTCACACAGAGCCCAACAATAAGGCCCAGGGAAGCCGCTGACTTTCAGGAGAGATTTGCAGAATTAGACCGAGCCCCTGAAGATACAGGCCGTTTTCTTAATGCTTCCACTTATCGTAAGGCCCCCCCCTTGCTGAGAACATGAAGTAAAACGTGATCGGGCTCGAGCGTTCGCGCCTTTTTCACCCCTGCTCTGGATTGAAGACTGGCGGCCGTTAGCAAAAATCGCAAAAGGGGATTACAAGCACTCGAACCCTTCTGCAAGGCAGGGAGGAGGGACATGGAGGTTTAACCGGTGGGCCTGAAGGAGCTCCCCACCTACCACGGGCAGAGGGCTGCTCCAGCCCCATGGGGGGCCTGCTGCGGACAGGGGCTGCTCCAATGCAGCGGGCCCAGGAGCCCCGCAGGCAGGGGCTACACCGATCAGGATGCTGGAGCAGCTCCTGCCTGTAGCAGGGGGGGGGGCCCTTTAATCGGTTAACCAGTTAAACAAGGTGTTTCGCCGATTCAACGGGAATTCACATGCCTACTACGGATGTGAACGTGCAACCGGGTACACAGTTAACCGAGGAGCCGGGGCTCAGCTCTTAACCTTCCCGGTTACACAAGGGAAGACGGCTTAAAAGCTGGCTCCTCGCACGTACTGGCTCCCGCCTCCCCCTCCCCTTCCCGCACTGCTGCCTCCGTACCAGAGGCAGTGGCCCTGCTTTGCCTCCCAGGAAGCTGCCTGTCCACCGCGTGTAACTACGTAACCACTGACATTTTCAACGGTGACACGTTTACTTGATGATCCGTATTTGAACATCCCTAATCCAGCAGGCGGCTCCCTGCCTACTGTCCATGGGGTAACTTGTGGCTTAGTGTAGTTACAATTTGCTCGTCTCACAGTCACTCAGACACAAGAGCATGGAAGAGAAAGCAGGAGTCACCCCGTTGCTGCTCCAAAGACTTGCATAGCCCCAGGATGACTAATTGTCTCTCTGCAGAATGGAATCCACAGGGGAACAGGAGTCAAGTGATTTCAGAACTGGAGTAAGCTGGGCTCGTAGCATTTCAGAATCAGAGCTCTTACCTGCTCAAAGCCAGGCTCATTGTGGTAGGGATTCTCCGTCATCAGAGACTGGATGGAGATCAGGACTGAAGAGATACTCTGTGCTGGGCTCCAAGCAGGACCAGTCCAAGTGCTGCAACACCATAAACACAGGAACATATGGAACAACAAGATCTAGGAGAGTGGTTCTCAGCCAGGGGTTCTGGGGCCACGAGTCAGCAAAGCAGGGCCAGCGTTACACTTCCTCGGGGCCAGGACAGAAAGCCAAAGCCCCAGCACAAGGGTCCGAAGCCTGGAGGCCTGAGTCCTGCCATCGCAAGCTTAAGACTGAGCAACAAAGCTTTGTGGGGCCCTTGTGGCCCTGCTTTGCCGTCCCCTAACGCCAGCCCTGGCATTTGTATGCAGGAAAGCAGCTATCGTGGCATGGGTGGGTCACGGGAGATTTTACAGCACCTCAGAAAGAACAGATCTAGATTTGACTCAGTGACCTGCCCTGTCGCCACTGCCACTCTGTGGGGCACGGCCCAGGGCAGGAAATCAGAAAAAGCTAAAAGGTGTCGACCCCGAAGAGGAAGTGGGCAAGAGAAACAAGGAGCCAGGAAGAGTCCCCGCTCATCAGCCATGCTCAGAAGGCTCATTGGGTGGGTTTCTTCTCCCCCAGCTGTGCCCCCTACCTGGATTAGGGCTCAATTCTTGTACATTTCCCTTTCCTGCCAGCACCGAGGTGCCTGGCAGACAGAAAAGAACAGCACAGCTGGGAAAAGCTCCTCTAGGAAACTTTCAAACTTTCATCTTGCTTGCATGGTTTTTGGCACTAGCCCAGACGGGCAGGATGCCATTTAATTGGTTAACTGATTAAACAGGATTTTACATCCCTAATCTGAATTCAGGCCTCTGTGCACTAGGAAACACTGCCTTCCGTAGCAGCAAAGATCTACAGGTCCCTATGCCACCTGCAGGGATGCACATACCTTTACGGAGAGGGCCGCTGGGTTGGCCTCCCTTACCCCTTTCGTCCCAGAGCCTTTCCCCACCCACTCTGGAACAGCAGCATTTCAAGAGGGACGCACCTGGCATGCGACAGGTTTTCAAACCCCTTTCGTTTTACAGCTCCCTGCCCTTTCAGTTTTATGCCTTCTATCATGAATATCCCAAATGCTTGAGGAGGTCTCCCCAACCAAGTGCTTCCCCCGGCAAGCCCACCTCCTCCCGTCACATCAATAGTCTTCCTTCCTCGAACCGTTGCTCTGTCTTTGCTCTAATTTAGGATCCAACCCCGAGAGGCGAAGAGCACCCACAGCCTGTGTGGGCTCCACGCTAAGCTGCACTGCGCTCACAGGCGTTCATAGATTGTGCCCTTACATTGTTAACATGTCATTGCAGGGACGAGGCATTTGCTGGGTTGGGACCATCCAGACACGATCTTCACACAGAGCTAATGGGACTGTTGCATAAAATTAAACATAGGTAGGGTTGGCGCCTGTGTCCGTAGAGCGGCTGTTTGAATAGTCTAGTGGTGACTAGAAATTATTATACGACTCATGGTTTTGCATCAAGTCACAGGCGGAAGCAGAGAAGCAGTTAAACAGCTTTCAAGGGAGTTTTTAGTGGCTTTTTTTTTAAATATCTATTTTCTCTGTAAGAACCACACACACACAGGAAATTAAAACCACAAAAATCTACACTCAAACAACAATAGGGGTCAGGCTTCAAACCACAAAAGCAGAAGAAATGCAAAGTTTAGGCCAAAACGCTTGATGTGGGAGATGGTAAAGTGGCACAGTGGGGTGACAGAACAGATTTGCAGCTTTGTGGAGTTAAAGACGGTCAGACCCGCATTTTAGCTCAATTTTGGCAGCTTTAAGGCCTCTGTCCTGCTAGTAACTTCATGCAGGATCTGTGCAGGCAGAGGTCACTGCAGGATTGGAACCTAAATAGGCAAAGAGGGACACATACTGTAAAGAACTGCCTGCAGCAACCTCCCGGCTTCCCCTTGGAACAGCCGAAGTCTCCTCTTACCCTAGAATACTCAGGCAGACTTTCCCATTGCGGTAGAAGTTGGGGTTAAACCTCACTGTATTATTCCCCGTTGTCATCAGTTTGACCCTTGGTGGGTGGATGGGATAATCTGGAGGACAGCGAAACAGGAACAAGAAGAACCCCCCTTCATAAGGCGTGTCAAATGGGCCTGTGATCAATGCATGAATCTGCAAAACAAAAGCCCATCTTGCGCACCACTTCACAATTGCGCAGCACGGTGAAATTCTCAACAAAACCGAACAAAGGCGAGAAATCGCGACAGAGCTCACGACCAGGCTTCTCCCACCAGCACATCATGCACGGCCCACTCCCCCAGAGCCACTGCTGCACATTTCTCTGCCTCACCTGGGCGCAGGGAGCGCCCACATGGCCGTATTTACCAAGGGACGGCGGCAGCTGCACCCCTCACGTGCTTTCACATACACCCACTCCAGATCTGCGCAGCCAAACACAAATCAAACAGCACTTTGCCGTAATAGCTTGGCTTTTCAAATGTTCAAGGATTTTAAAAAGGACCCCACATGATTAACAAGAAAAAAAGAGTCCCTGCCTTTTTCTCTGATTGCCCCCCTCCCTCAACACGGGTATGTCTACACTACAAAGTTAATTCGAACTAACAGACGTTAGTTCGAATTAACTTTGATAGGCGCTACACTAGCGCTCCGCTAGTTCCAACTTAATTCAAACTAGCAGAGCGCTTAATTCGAACTAGGTAAACCTCATTCCACGAGGACTAACATCTAGTTCGAATTAACTAGTTCTAATTAAGGGGTGTGTAGCCACTTCATTCGAACTAGTGGGAGGCTAGCCCTCCCCAGCTTTCCCTGGTGGCCACTCTGGGCACCACCAGGGAAACTCTTCTGCCCCCCTCCTGGCCCCGGAGCCCTTAAAGGGGCATGGGCTGGCTACGATGCCCGTTCCAGGTGCAAGCCTGCCAGCACCCAGCCAGCAGACCCTACACCTGGCACAGCTCGAGCCACCCACCCGCTGCCACCCAGCCCTCCCCCTTTTCCCGGGACCAGGCTGGCGGCTCCCCGGGCGCCCGGGAGCCCACAAGGG